TAGGATAAAATTTCATAAATCTCTCAAAATGTTGTTTTCCTTGTTCTCTACAGACATGTAACACAAATGGTCTTTTTGTAGTCCCATTCCAAATAAAGATTAAAGCTGGCTTTGGAGATGAAGTGTGACTGGCTCCTTCTCTAAACACAGCATGCTTGTTAAAGTAAAATTTAAAATCTCTTCTCATGTCAGAACAGGCACCTGATATGCAACAGAAGAAAAACAATATTTGAGGAGTATTTTGTTGCCTCCTTAACTGCTTTTCTTTCTTTCTTTCTTTCTTCCTTTCTTTCTTCTCTTCTTCTTCTTTTTCTTCTTCTTCCCCTCCTCCTCCATCTCCTTCTTCTCCTCCTCCTCTTGCTTCTTCTTCTTTTGGTTTTTTCGAGACAAAGTCTCTCTGTGTAACTTTGGAGCCAGTCCTGGGACTTGCTCTCTAGACCAAGCTGACCTTGAACTCACAGAGATTCACCTGCCTCTGCTTCCCAGTGCTGGGATTGAAGGCATATGCCACCACTACCCAGCAACAGCTTTTCTTAAGGCATAAATATTATCTCAAAATTTATAAGATTAATATATATGTTTTTTAAACTTTTGTCGTGATATTAACGGTCATGTGGAGTACTAACTCATTCCAGAAAAAGGTTTAATTTCCCTTCCTGTAGATGATATCTGGTTTGAATCTCTATCAGTTTTCTCCAGTGAACTATGACCATGCCTAACCTGTGAAGCCTCCAAAAGCCACTAAGCTGAGAAACAACAACTAAAGATCGGCTTTGAACTACAATCAGCTCAGAACAATTTTGAGGTGGCTAGCTGAGATGATCCAGCCTCACAATCTACTCTAGCCAGGACTTGAGACAAACACTCCACTTTCCCATTATGCAGACTGGACAACAAATAATACAGCTACCTCTCCCAGGACTTGACAATTAACTCATTTTTTTTCTTTTCAGGATCCTCTAAAGATTCTGTTGTCTCCAGACCAGAGGAAGTAAATTTAACAACATGATACCCACATTCCCAAGAGGTGGGGTAGGTGATTTTTGGTCTTTCATTAGGTTATGGATATTTATCGTTGTTTAGGGAGATTGGTCACAAGCTGTTATTGCTAACGATCAGGAAAAAAGCTAAACAAAAGAGATTAGATTCAAGGTACTTTTTTGAAAACAAAAAGGTGGATACAGGTTGATGTGACAAAAAGGTAGGTAGATTATTGTATTGCTATATTTACAAAATGGAGTACTACTCAGAAGAAAAAAAAAACAATTCAATCTTGAAATTCACAGGCAAAAGGATGGAACTAGAGAAACCATTCTGAGTGAGGTAACCCACTCACAAAAAAGACAAATATGGTATGTACTTACTCAGATAAAGATTTTAGATCTAGAGCAAAGAAGTAGCAGCCCACAATCCATACCACCAAAGAAGCAAGGAAACAAGGAGGACCCTGAGAGAGACATACATGGTCCCCTGGAAAAGGGGAAAGGAGCAAGATCTCCTAAGCTAATTGGGAGCATGGAGGAGGGAAGAGGGAGTTAGAAGAAAGAGAAGAGGAGGGGAAAAGAGGGCATGAGGGAGCAGGGAGATCTAGTCAGGATAAGAATAGAGGAGAGCAAGATAAGAGATACCATAATAGAGGGAGCCATTATAGGTTTAAAGAGAATTCTGGCAGTAAGGAAATGTCCAGAGATCTACAAGTTGGACCCTCTAACAATCTAAGGAGTAGTCAAGAGGCTACTTAAATGCCCTTCTCTGATAATGAGATTGATGACTGCCTTGTATGCCATCCTAGAGCCTTCATTCAGTAGCTGATGGAAGCAGAAGCAGACACC